AAATATAAGGAGATAAACAAGAATAATCAAACATTTGAGAGAGAATTCCATGGGAGATAAAGATTAACATGGAAATATGGTAAATAGAACACTTTAATGTTTGTATAGTTACAAACACGCAAACATTAAATGAGAAGATGAAATGAGAAAGAATATTGCACTTATAAAGCAGAACACTGCTATGAAAAGTAAACAAGCAATCTTGGTAAATAAACAAACTCAATATGTGCCAAATAAGCAGAATGAGAAGTCATGAAATAATTTAGTGAGCAGGATGATCTAGCTAAAGCTTTCTTCCAGAATACAATAAAAAAGGTCAAAGAGATAAGAAGTATAAGAAAACACGGAAGGTTTATCCAGAATAGATCTGAAATGTCCAAAGTCCATTTGACAGCCATCCCAGAAATGGAAAGCAAAGGCAAAATGGGGAAAAATACATTTAAAAAATTATGAAGAAAAAAGGAAAACTAAAGAGACATGTATTTTCAGATTAAAAGAGAAAACTAAAGGCTATGCAAGATTAGAAATAAAAACAAACAATGTGAAATTTCTTATAGCACAGGAAGGGGGAGTGGAGAGAAGGAAAAAAAAACCCTAAATAAATGAAACAGAAAATTCAGTGTCAGTTAAAAAAAAAGAAAACATAATAAAATATAAATTACATAGTAAGAATACAAATACATGCAAATATGCTAGTAACCATAATAAATGAGAACACATGAAATCTACCCATTAAAAGAGATTCTGAAACTGGGTAAAAGAAAAACAAGATATTTTTTTCTACTCAAAATCTACTTTAAACCATGACACAGAGATCTTAAAAGTAAGTGATTAAAGAAATGTCATGTAAATGCTAATTAAAAAACTGGTAGAAGGATTATTAGAATCAAACAAAATAGTCAAAAAAGAAAGCAAGCTGACAAATCATTAAATGAGAAAAGCAGTATACTTCATTTTGATAAAATCTATCCTAAAGGTAGGCTTCCCTTAGTCTCATTGGTCAAAACTGTATCACATGTCCATAGTGAAACCAATCATAGTCAAGGAGAATGGAATGCCCATGCAGAGTTAGACCACTTTGGGAATGAATCCCTGGAGCAGGGGTAGCACCTGCCTTTTCTGAAACACAGTTCATGCAAAGTAGGGCTGACACTTGAAGAAAAATCAGAGCTGTAGATGAGCAGGCAATCAACAATATTTAATAAACCAGCCTGAAATTGTCATAACACACAATTTATTTCCTTGCAACATTAGTGTTATGGTTTGGCTCTGTGTCCCCAGCCAAATCTCATGTTGAATTGTAATGCCCAATTTGGGGGAGGAACCTGGTGCAAGGTGATTACATCGTGGGGGCAGATTTCCCCCTTGCTGTTCTCATGATAGTGAGTTCTCAGATCTGGTTGTTTAAAAGTGTGTAGCATTTCCCCCTGTGCTCTCTCCTGTTGCCCATGTGAAGATGTGCTTGCTTTTCCTTTTCCTTCCACCATGATTGTAAGTTTTCTGAGGCCTCCCCAGCCATGCTTCCTGTACAGCCTGCAGAACTGTGAGCCAATTAAACCTCTTTTCTTTATAAATTACCCAGTCTCCAGTAGTTCTTTAATGAAATAACTAATATAATTAGTTCAACTGATTACTACAAAGTGATGAATCACTATAAAATTTACAATACTGTATTTATTTGTCTCCTTTTAATTGTCTACCTCCTCCCTTAATATGTAAACTTCAGGAGAGCTGCAACCTTGTCTATCCTGATCTTAATTATAGCTTTGGCAACTTGCACAAGGCTTGGTATAGAATAGGAACTTCATACATGTTTGCCGATAGAATGAATGAATGAATGCTGGGATAGATTACTCTAAGACAGATCAACCAGAATAATACAGTTTTTTTAAAAGGCCAGAAAAAGGAAAGCTTTAAAGTGGTGTTAGATAGTGTTACAGAGTTCAGGGAGAAGACAGGAATTACAAAAAGGCCACCAAACTTTATGTTCAGAAAGGATTTCACATTTAGAAAGCAATTTTAGTAACTGCATTTGTGACTATAAACTGGATCATAAGGAATTAAGAATGAAGTGGGTAATAAAGACATGGTTACAGTAAGACTACCTTTGTCTTTTTTTAAATTTGTTAGAAGCAGAAAATGTAATATCTCTGAGGATAGCAAAATCAAGGAAGGGGTTAGCTGGTTGATTTTAGAATGGTAAGAGGAGATGAGAAGTTCACATGTGCTCTATGACCCACTGGCACCAGCTGTGGCATATTTCTGACAAAAAAAAGTATCCAATGGAGAAGAATGCATTACAGGTATAGAAAAAAGAGGAATTAAAATAAATTTCTAGAAGAAGAAGGAAGTGAATCACATGTAAAATATCTAGAGTTTAAACTTGAGGTGGCTTTTTTTGTCCCCAGAGCCAAGAGTAAAAATGTGAAAGTCAGAGAGACACATAGAACAAAACTTATGTGCTGTCACCTAAACTTAACCTAGATTACTTAACTAAGAATTATTCCGTACAGGTAGCCAATAAATATTTGTTGAATAAATGGAATAAACAAACACATAACTGGATGCAATGATAGAAATGTATTATGTTTTGTATCTTTACCATAAACATGATCCTCCAGTTTTCTTAAGGTAAATCATTTAAGTGATAAGGAATGAAAGGCTCTACAAATAGCCGGGCGCGGTGGCTCAAGCCCATAACCCCAGCACTTTGGGAGGCCGAGGCGGGTGGATCACGAGGTCAAGAGATCGAGACCATCCTGGTCAACATGGTGAAACCCCGTCTCTACTAAAAATACAAAAAATTAGCTGGACATGGTGGCGCGTGCCTGTAATCCCAGCTACTCAGGAGGCTGAGGCAGGAGAATTGCCTGAACCCAGGAGGCGGAGGCTGCGGTGAGCCGAGATCGCGCCATTGCACTCCAGCCTGGGTAACAAGAGCGAAACTCCGTCTCAAAAAAAAAAAAAGAAAGGTTCTACAAATAAAGAAATGCCTTCAATGGACATTTGCCAACAACAACACATCAGGCAAAAAAAGAGAGAAGTAAAAATAAGGTAGAATACATGGATAAATATCCTTGTGTAGTCTACAGTTACTGAAATCCCTAAGGATGGCATTATTTATATATTAAAGCTATTCATTTTCTTGAAAGCTACAATAAGTAAAAGAAAGTAATTTATGTAAAAAGATATATAATAAAAATATATTCAATTAATAACCAGAAAATATGTATATATCAATATTTATCTATGTCTAGAATAAAAACAAGATTAAGAAATAGAAACTTTAATTTTCACTATTTAAAATAACTGCTCAACCTGAAAATTAAATCCTAGATCTAGTATTCTAATTTGTTAAGCATTCGCTTTGTCAAAAGTTCTACTTTTAATACTTTTATGTTTCAAATACATATACCAAACTTTTAAAAACACTTTAAAATCCACTAGAAGTTATTTAAAAATAAATCATATCTACAACTTACTTTGCAACATTCACCGCGGTATGCTAAGTACTTCACAATTTTATGTTAAGTTAAAAGCTCATAGAAACAGATGAACATTTTTATGTCATTTGGCAGATATCATTAAAATGTACAACATGAATATGTACCAGATTTAGCTTCTGCTTGTTAACTACTACAATCTTACCATAACATTGCTATTTAAATGTAGATTTCAAGATTAGAACTCTGTCAAAACAAAAAGATTTTTATTGGAAAAAAAAAAAACACTAAGGGATAAAAATGTTTCATGGTTCATCTTTGCCTACACAGGAACTAAATAAGTAAATTTACAACTCACATAATTTCTTTCAAGGATTTAATGTCTACCTATGGTGCACAAAACAGCCTGCTGACACATTTATACCATATGCCAGGTGAAACTGTGAATGAGAAAGGGGATCCACACTGTTGGGAAGAAGGTAGCACTCAAAAAGGTCAAATTATAGCAACAGCAATGAGTACAAACAGTCCATTTTTCAATGGAATTTTTATACACAATTGCTGCAATAAATTACCTTGTTGGGGAAAAACAAAAAAGTAAATTAAACCAAATCAAGGAAATCAAAATGGGAGTTAGAATTCTAGTTAATTATATAATTGAAGACATAGATTTGATAAATGTTCTATAAGAAATAGTGACAGGATTTGTCAACCACTAGCATGGCAAGAGGAAAAGTTGGAAAATAAGCATGATGGAAAAGGTAAATTATTTAGCTAGTTGGAGTCCCACCCCACTCCTTTTGTTTTGTTTTTTGTTTTGTTTTGTTTTGTTTTGTTTAAAGGATCTGAAATCAAGTGGCACTTTGGAGTTAACTACGGGTCTTTCTCATCATTCTCATCTCATGCCGAGGAGCTTCTGGCCTATTAAAAGCAAGTGTGACCATCAAGTATCCCGTTGACTATTTTCAGTTACCGTACCAGAAATTTCATATTGTAATGAAGATTATTCTTTAAGCACTTTTCTTAGAATATGCTGAATTCATTTCACTGATTTCCATTGCTCAAAATATATGGAATGCCTCACACATTTGTATATCCGTGGAGCATAACTTCGTTTTACTGTATAACTATTGTTAGTGAATGTTTATGCCAGTTTCATAACTTTGGATGCCTAATTTCTCATGCATTATCGCATTCTCTGGACACCATCTCTAATTTCATATATCTTTGGTTTAAAAATAGCGGTGATGGCGACGGTGTTTTGTTTTGCAGATGAGAAGTTCACCAGGGCTCTATCATCTTCTTTGCGACCTACTACCACCAAGTATGGCAGATCCACTGTAGCCTCCATGAGGCTAGGTCCCATGAAAGTTTTGACCAGAAGGAGCCACCACCATACTCTTAAAACATATCCAGAAATGCACCTTTTATTTTCAATGCTTGTATTCTTGTTTTCATGATTTCCATGTATATAAATATTTCTGTTCATAAATTCTTCAAAATTATCTAGTACCTCAAGTAAACAATTAGCAATAACTAGCAGGGGCTTGTAAGTACCTTTTGATGTTGTTCATCCTTCATCCTTTGCAATTTTCTGTTTTCTTCCGCCCTTAGAGAATCTCTATAAGCCCAGCTTCTGTCCTGTAAAGGAACAGAGAGAAAAAAAAAAAAAAAAAAAAAACCAAAAACTTGATAGGATAAAGTATCACCACAGTATACCAAGCTGTCTACCATAGGCCTGGTGCTAATAACTTAACCTCTGTACTGAGCATATAGTAAGCTCTCCATACTCGCTTGGTTATTGAGTGATTTATGCATATATCTGAAGATGTCCCTTGGGATATATATAAAAAGAAAACTAGTGTAAGAACAATCACCCTGCACATTTGAAAGGATAATCTAAATGTTTAATTAAGCTTTAAAAATACCCCTCTGGGAGCATCACACACTGCGGTCAGCTGGGGGCGGCTAGGGGAGGGACAGCGGGGAGTAGGGAGGGTGGGGAGGGATAATGTGGGGAGAAATACCAGATATAGGTGATGGGGGATGAAGGTGGTAAACCGCCTTGCCATGTATATACCTATGCAACCTTCCTGCATGATCCGTACATGTACCCCAGAACCTAAAGTACAATTAAAAAAAAAATCCCCTTGGAGATAATCAATAGTTTATTCCTTCTAGTGGGAAGTTTAGGACATTTTCAAGAATATTTCAACTAGCTGATCAGTTAGTATTAAAGACAAGCAATGGTGGCATTGTCTGTAGAAGCACTGGCATGGCTAGCCCATTAATTATATCTGATTAAGCAGCCTGTTAACTAGTGGTTGATACCATATAATTTCAAGAATGCATACTTTCTAAGTGCTTGCATCCCTAATCTGTATGAAGCTTATTTCTATTTCTGAAAAGGAAAACAAAGCCTGTTCAGGAACATATGACAACAAAGCCTTTGGAGAACCACCATGTGGGAGAATGGCCTTCAGTCTCTCTGATCCACCATACCAGAGTTCCATACCCTGGCATAGTGACCATGTGTTCTGAAATTTATGGCATTTCAAGTGTTCCATTTATTTGTCATATGCTTTCTCTGCTTCACATTGATTTGCAGCCCCAGCTTCTGTAAGGCAAAGAGCTAATACTTAGGAAATTAGAGCACCATCATGGCAGCAGGTTACGTATTTCAGACCTAGTTCTCAGGACTAATAATCCATAAAGTTCATATAAGCTGGTTCCCCCTTTTTCCAACCTACATGAACTTTTATACAATTTTTCTCTAGCTCTTCTTAGTTTATTCTCCCATTTCTGTCACTATAAAAACCTATATACCATCAAATAATAAGAACCACTTCCCTTGGCTGGGCGTGGTGGCTCACGCCTGTAATCCAAGCACTTTGGAGGCCAAGGTGGGTGGATCACCTGAGGTCGGTAGTTCAAGACCAGCCTGACCAACATGGTGAAACCTCATCTTTAAAAAAAATAAAAATAATAAAAATAAAAAGAACCACTTCCCAGAAAAACAGAGAAGGTTTCAAAACGGTATCATCTATGGCAGCGCCAATTGGAAAACTGGCACTTGATGTGTTCAGAAAGCTCTTGTTTATCCAAACCCTGCTGCATTGGGCAGGTAAGCATACATCCTATGACTTTCTCTTATCTGCACCCTAAACCCAAGGGGACAGTAATAAGACACAGAAGGGGAAGAGTGATTCTCTAACAACTTCTTTTTATATTAGAGATGGTTTGTCTTTATCACAAATATTCCATATAAGACCTAGGGAGGAAGGGAGGGAGGAAGGAAGGGAAGGGGAAGAGAGGGAAGGAGAGGAGAGGGGAGGGGAGGGGAAGAGAGGGGAGGGAGGGGAGTGGAGGGGAAGGAGGAGGGGAGGGAGGGGAGAGGGGAGGGAGGGGAGGGGAGGGGAGAGAGGGAGGGGAGAGGAGGGGAAGGAGGAGGGAGGGGAGGGAGGGGAGGGAGGGAAGGGAAGTGAGAGAAAGGCAGGCGGGCAGCTTCTAGTCAAGATATTAAAAGGCAGAATAAAATATTTAGTTAAAGCAACTTGAATTCAGTTACAACTTGAATGAAATATCTAAATTATATTTGAATATCCTCTCTTTAAACTTGTCATTTTGTTGTTCTTTTATCGGAATAGAGGTCTCAGTTTTTGACTAGAAAAAAGTGGTTATTAAACACCTTATTATTCAATAAGGTGCCATAAAATAGGCCACAGAAACCGGGAAGTCACGTAGCATCTGAACTTATGAAAAGTCCAAAGTTACTTGCAATCCTAAGGCTTTCTTACCCAGCTGTTATCCCTAGGCAGGACAGGAAGTTTCTGTTCAAAAATAATAGAGAGGGAAAAAATGATCACTATTTTCTTAGATCTAAACACTAGAAATTTCTAAGTCACTGTATTCACACAATTTTTCTAACATTGAAATTTTCATTTAATACAATATTGTTATATTTTTGTCATTCAACTAAAATATGCTTTTATTTATCCTCCCCCAAAGCTATGCTTATAATGTATTCATTCAATTAACAGTCTTTAAGCCTCCTCTGTGCAAGCCCTGTGTCAGGACACACACGATTCCAGACCTCAAGCATTTATAGCTTAGTGTGAAAGTCAAACTAGAAGATTAATGATTACAATACAGCATGATAGGTATTATAATAGAGGAACCCAAAAAGAAGAATATTCAATTAAACTGGATCAAGGACACTTTCTAAATCAAGTAAGACTAAGTTATATTTCGAAGAGTGAGTAGGAGTCAGACTACACAGGGAGACGAGCGTCACATGGGCAGTGCATGAGCTTTCTAGGGCTTCCATAACAAAGTACTATGATACTGGTGGCTTAAATAACAGAAATTTACTATCTTATAGTTCTGGAGGCTTGAAGTCCAAAATCAAGGTGTCCTCAGGGTTGGTTCCTTCTGAGGGCCGTGAGAGAAATATCTGTTCCAGGCTTCTCTTTTGGGCCTGCAGACTCCATCTTCATCATACATCCCTTCACATCATCTTCCCTGTATGAATGCTTCTGTGTCCCGATTTCCCCTTTGTATAAGGACACCTTTCGTAATGGATTTGAACCCAGTCTAGGAGCCTCATTTTAACTTATTTCCTCTGTAAAGTTGCTACCTCTGAATAAGGTCGCATTCTGAGGGGCTAGGGGTTAGGGCTTCCACGTAAATTTTGAGAGATGTTAGTCTCAACCCATGACAAGCATTAAGTTCTCCTTTCTAGATGGTGGAGTAAAAATGTTCCTGTTCCATTCTCCCCAAAATTACCCTAAACAGAGGAGAAAATGAAATACACACAAGCTCTATCTTCAAAAACCAAGAGATCCATATTCACAGAGGAATATCTAAGAAGGCAAAGTAGGTAAAGAAACAGTAAATGACTTAGGCAGGAAAAGAGCAAACTTGAAGACTTGCTGGAAGGGGCTAGAGGACACCCATGGGGAGCCAATTCTTTTCACAGAGCAATATGAGGCCCCAAGAAATGGATCCACCAGCTATTGGGGAAGACAGATGGGTAATAGGCAGGTAAAAAGAAAGGAATTACTAGCAAGTTTCATATAGTGTCCTGACACAGGGCTTGCACAAAGGAGGCTTAAAGACTGTTAATTAAATAAATACATTATAAGCATAGCTTTGGGGGAAGATAAATAAAAGTATATTTTATTTGAATGACAAATAAAGCCCTTCACCCCCATATACCTCCTCCTGCCTTGAAAATGCAGGTGCTAATTCACCCAACACAAACAGGAAATGAAAAGTGTATTTTCTAGATAAATTAAACTGGGCACACATGTAAAGACAGCAGCAGTGGGCAAATGCCAGGCTGAGAATGAAATGACTTTATAAAGTCCTGCATACTGACCAGTAAGCCTCTGAGGCCCTCTCTTTGAAGTTTTCTTCTGCTTCCTGTACTGTTTCTTCCGAGAACTACAAAGTGACATATATTTTTAAAGTAACAAAGAAAAAAAAGCAGTTTGGGGAATTTAAAAAAAAAATCTCCCCACCTTCCCCCCTAAAAAAACCCAAATCAATAAAATATTTAGAAGATAAAGTCAAGAAAACACGCCAAAACATAGAAAAAAAAGTAGTCAAAGATAAATTACAGGAGAAAATCTCTAAAGTTAGAAGATAAATCCAGGAGGTCTACAATTTGAATAATAGAAATTCCATAAAGAGAAAATGAAGGGAAATAAATCAAAGAAATAACACAAGAAAATCATCTAGAACTAGAGATGAATTTCCAGATTGAAAATGAATTTAAAAAAGACTTTCACACTAAATCACATCATTACAGAATACCAGAAAAAGAAAAGATGATATTAAAGTATTTTCAGATGAAGCAGAGAAAAGCCCTCATATAAGGCCTGAAATTCACATGGCCTTGAATTTCTCAGGAACCAATGTTCAACTTTAGAAGAGCAATGCCTCAAAATTCTGAAGGAAAATTATTTCCAGTTTGGAACAGTCATCAGTAAAAATGCAACCAAAGTATGAGAGCAGAATAAAGATAGTTTCAGACATGAAAGGACCTGAACATATTTACCTTCCATGTGTCTTCTCTTGGGAAGCTGCTAAGTAATATGCTTCACCAAAACAAAGAAATAAAGCAAAAAAAAAAAAAAAAAAAAATACAAGAAATGAGACCCAGAAATCAGAGAATCCAACATAGGAAAGCAATAAAAGTAATTCCCAAGGTGACTTTAAAACGGTGATCCTCAACCTTGGCTGAACATTAGAATCAGCTGGGGAGCTTTTTAAAACCCTGAAGCCCAGGCCACAATACAGCAGGCTTGCTGGAGGTGCAACCCAGGTGTCCGTGATTTTTACAGCTCCTAGGTGAATCTAGTGTGCAGAGGAGCCTGAGAACCATTGGGTTAAAGGAGAATTCCAGAACAACAGCTGTGCAGCAGGCCTACAAACACCCAGGACAGCTTAAAGCAGGAGGAAAGAGGGATCCAGGAGGAAGAGAAAAGAAAAAACAAAACTGACAAATTATCTGACAGGCATAAAATGGAAAATTGTTTAGAAATTTGCATCAAGAGGCATTTTGTAGAACAGTCACAAAAGTTGTCAGAAGACAGTCAAACGTTCAAAGGAAACTAAGAAAATGCTAAACTATGTTTAAAAAGATGTACAGGAAGATGTAAACAGACAACACCAACTGGCTTGGCAGTGAGGAAATATTTATATAGTCATAATAGGGAAAGCTCAAATTACTGAATAATTATAAGAATGAGAGGAAGAAATGAGTTAATAAGGTCTAAAAGTGATTCATCAAGAGAGAGCAACACATACTAACAGATATTCAGAGCTAAGAAAAGAAACAGGTGGTGGGGTCCCCAGCATCTTAATGACCCCCTAAAGATGTCCTAATCCCTGGAATCTGAATGTTTCTTTATACGGCAGAGGGACTTTGCAGATTAAGGATCTTGAAGTAGAAAGATTAGCCTGGATGGTCCAAGTGGACCCACTGTAATCAAAAGGGTCATTATAAGAGGAAGGCAAGAAGGTCAGAGAGGGTGCAGAAGGTGGGGAGAGATGGAAGCTAAATTGGACCAATGCGGCCATGTGCCAAGGGTTTGGGGGGACAGGGGACAGATGCCCCCTGGAACCTCCAGAAGGAAACATTCCTGTTGATAACTCTGATTTTAGCATTTTAAAACTCATTTTTTATTTCTGATCTCCAGAAATGTAAGAGATACGCTTTTTTTGTATTAGGACACTACATTGTTGCTAATTTGTTACAGCAGCAAGGTGGAAGTGGGATTCAAGTGCCGCAAAGGGAGACATATGCATTGAATGAAGGTTTTATTCTACTTCTTCATGAGTGAGCATGTGACACGTAGATAAAAAATACAATAACCAACCTGAGTGCTCACAGTAGTGTGAGAGAGGAAGGCTAGAGAAGCATGAGCTATAGAGCTTGGCCCCTCAGACATTAGCACACACACACATCTCCCATGGATTGTATTAAATGCAGGCTCTGATTCAGGAGGTCTGCAGTGCAGCCTGAGATTGGTCTGCATCTAAATCTTTGCTCCTACTTTCAAAAGCTTTGCTTCCCCTTACCCCTTTGCAGAAGAAAAGATTTAGCCTCGGGGGCAGACCCTAGAGGACTAGAGAGGGGCAGTTCTAAAGAAAGAGACAGAACCTAAAACTGAGGGAAAGAGGAAGGGGCAGAGAGAGGAAAGGGCTTTGTGCCTAAGCTAAGACATTTTGATTGTATCCTTGAAGACACGAGGGACCACTGAATGATTTGGGGCAGTGAAACACCAGGATGAGATTTTTTGTTGTTGTTGTTATTCTTTGTTGAGGAAGTCGGGGCATAAGGCTGGGTGCAGGGGCTCACTCCTGTAATCCCAGCAGTTTGGGAGGCTGAGGTGGGTGAATCATTTCAGCCCAGGAGTTTGAGATCACCCTGGGCAATGTGGAAAAACCCTGTCTCTACAAAAACTACAAAAGGTAGCTGGGCAAAGGAGTACATGCCTGTGGTCCCAGCTACTCAGGAGGCTGAGGTGGCAGGGTAGCTTGAGCCTGGGAGGTGGAGGTTGCAGTAAGCCAAGATCACGCTACTGCACACAAGCCTGGGTGACAGAGTGAAACCCTGCCCAATTAAAAAAAAAAATGAGGGCAGCAAAACAGAGACTAGAAGTCATTTCTTATTTAACTAGAAATATGCAGTGAAGATCACTGAGGAAGGTATAATGATGCTGGTACTTCTGCCTATGCACATGATACAAAGAACTATATTAATCCACATGCAAAAGTGAATCCTGTAAATATATCTTGTCTGAAGTCCTAAGCCAAAAGGAATTTTCTTGTAACCACTAAAGGATTTTTCTTGTAATCTTTTACATTGACATAATTTTCTAGTATTTATTAAATCCCCATCTGCCAATGGCAGATCCACCTTTAATGGAGAAAAGTACAAGAGAAAAAGTCTTCTCAGAAAAGTTACATTAGGTAGTAAAATTAAAGTATTAAAAAAAAACAAATGTAAATTCTTCCAGCTCATCACACCCCATATAGATAGTAATCACATAGTGTTCACATTCTATACGTTGACCACAGCTAAAATAAACTGCAGGTGTCCTCTTTTTACAAAGAAATGTTCTTCACAGAAGTGCAATGTACACATTTGATTTTCCTAAAGCATTAGAAACTGTTCGCAAAGCATCCTCAGAAGAATTCTATGCATATGGATTAGAAAGAATGAGAAGACTATAATATGGGTAAAAAGTCAGTTAAATATATTGAACACCGAAAACTTATTAATAGTTTGGGGTCAAAATGGGAGCAGCTATTGTGTGCAGTTTATAAGGAACCATCCTGGGTCCAATCCTGCTCCATATTTTCTATTAATACCTCTGAGGATCCTATGACTAATGCACTAATCAATCCACAGAAAATGCAGCTCTGGGAGACACTGCTAATGCTTTGGATGACAATATTAAAATTCAGGATGATCTTGTTAAACTGAAGAAATGAGCCAAAATCAATGGAGCAGCACACACAGTTCTGCAGGCGTTACACATCAAGGATTCAGGCGGCCCTCAAACAAAAAGGAAGACCAGCCTAGTAGGCGAAAACGCAGTGGTTAAAGCTATCCAACTCCTGTTCTCCCTCTCCCTCCCTGACAGGCACAAGGATATCCAGACAGGTGTATAGTGCTGTCATCTACACATGATTTAACTCCACTACCTACAGCTTTTCAACTGTTTCCCCCAGGGCCCTGCAGTGAGGGACGAGAGATGATGGATTAACATTAATATAAGTTGTGGGGCCCACACTGCTGAATTTACACTTTAGAACATCACATTAGAAGCAGCAAAAAAACACAGGAAACAACTAAAGGTTTATAAGTAAGAGTATAATGACCTTGTCCTAAGGAATGTCATAATATCTTCCTGACACTTAAAAACATGATCTCTACTGAAAAAAGGGGTGAGGGGAGATGAAGATGAGGGTTCTTTAACAACTTATTTAGCTGCCCAAACCCTGAGAAACCTGAGACTTTCAGAAATGTAAACTCATCTATTCTTTCCACTACAACCCTTTCCCAGAATTATCCTTAATTACACTTACTTTCTTGTCCCCAATTAACCAATTGGTAACCAAGCCCTGCTGCTTTCGCCTTCCAGGCAGTTTTCTGACCTGCACTCTCTTCTCCATCCTCTCCCCTGCTGTGTTAGCTGAAATCTTCATCGTTCTTCACCCAGACGGATACAAAAGCCTTAGGGGCCTCTCTGCTTCTCTGTTCCCTTAGATCTCTGCTTCGCAATGTTACCAACGTGATCCAGACGTGATCCAGAATGAAAACCCAAATCTAACCTTAAGCCTTCCCTGTTTAAAAATGTTCGACACTTTCAGTACTCACAGGATGAGGTTCAGGTTTTTCAATGTGGCATACAAATTTCTGCAGTGGTTTTCTACCCAGAGCACCACTGGCACGCAGTAGGTGGGGCATTTCTAAATGTCCCACTAGTAAGCACCGTGTGGGGCATTTCTAGATGTCTCAGTGTCTAAATGGTGCTACTGGCACTTCATGCCCAGGGGCTAGGGATACTAAACGTCCTGCAGTACTCCAGATAACTCACACAATGAACTGTCCCACCTGAATTTCCTGACGTAACACCACTGAGAAATGGTCCTCATGGTTGCTGCTCACTTCTACAGCCTTCCAGCTCACTTTTCTGCACTGCAGCTACATCACTCTTCTTCCACAACACAAGCCATGCTAATTTCTTGCCTGTATGCCTTAATTCTTGCTCTCTGGGTCTTTATTAATTCTGATACCTGGAAGGACTCATCACTTTACTGATTCATAGTTTAAGCTTCTGCCCAGGTGTCATTTCCCAGGAAGCATGTAACACACATGGTCTGACTTAGATGCCTCTTCTTGATAAGGCAGTAGTGCTTTCTTATCATGATATGCTCTACACTCAGCAGTTTGCTTTAAAACCATTGGTGTTCTCCTTTACAAGTTTCATTGGGTAGAAACTGTAGGCACTCAGTAGGCCTTATATAGACCTATGAATTTGAAGAATGGATGGATGGATGGTTGGATGGAAGGAAGGATGATGGATGGATAGATGGATGGGTGGGTAAATGGATGATTGGGTGGGAGCAAGGACTTCTCTGAGGCTGTTTTAGTCCAGGTGCCCATAAAATAGTACAAGCATTATTTTTTAGTTCAGGCAACACTGAGGTCAAAGTTTCAGATCAGGTCACCTGTCCTTAGTTCCAGCATTCTATGATATACAAGTCACTCTATACCCCTAATCTTCAGTCACTAAATACCTCTTTAAAACGTGCCAGGTAGCACCCTGCATAGCATTTCACTTACCCATGTTGAGGATTGTGGGCCACAAACAGCACTTTGACAGGCACTTCTGCCTGGAGATTCTGTGTTCAGTTTGCTCAAGAACTCAGCAGTTTTGCTACCAGGAACACAAACGAGTATTAGTGCCTTCAAAAAAATATGAATATAATTATTTATTGTTCCTTTGGATACAAGCCTAGACTTATTTGGGTGATGACTAAAATCGTCCAAGGTAGAACAGAAGGTTAGGTTGAGAACAAGGTATAGTAGAAATCAAAACAAAATGCTATTGCAAGACTGCATTCTTCAAAAACAGCATTTCAAAAATATAAAACTAGGTTTGTGAAATGTGAACCTATGACTTCATTTTTTCCACTTTGTGTTACTGACATAAATTCAAATGTTCTCTCAGAGCACATTCCACAGCATGAGGCCCTAATTTCCTATCTGAACATTTCATGTTTAACACTCAGACTTCAGGGTAGGACTGTGGAATGTTAACAGCCTACAACATTCTGCTTCACACCAGTTTTGCATGAAGCCCTTTACCCTCTGGGGGTCTTTCTCCAAGTCATCTCATCTCCCTCAGGGCTTTGACTGCTGTCAGAATACACAGACCCTCTAATCCAGTAACTCTTTTCCGTTTATGGATCACAGAGCCCTTTGGGACTCTGAAAGCAAAAGTGGACCATCTGTCAACAGACAGACAGACACACACACACACACACACACACACACACACACACACTCCTTTGCATTTTATTTCAGAGAGGTGCTAAACCCTCCATAGAGGTTAAAAAGTGCTGCTGATTCTGGACTGCATTTCTAATATCTCTTTTTAATCTGAAAAAATTTGACCTAAAAATGCCCTCAGTCTAAATAAGAAATTCTGTTTTTATCTTAAAAATCCAAGCCACCACCCCAATTTCTCCTCTCACTTATGCCAAGCACAGAACACTGAAATTGTTTCCTAGTCCTCACCTCAGTGCTTGGCCCGTTCTCCCTACCCTTGATTAATTCCTACCCCTTTGTCCTTTTCTCATGTAATTTGTGGGATTTTTACCTCTTCATTGCACATTCACAGTCACATACCTCATTGAGCACTGACTTATATTGCACCAGACTCATGCAGCCTGCTCCCATCTTCCTCCCTCCTCCTGCTAGCCCTCTGCTTCTGCCTACTATTTGAAGCCCAATGCTAAGATCGGATTCATCAAGTACTTAGGACATGGGCATCAAAGGAAACACAAAGTATCTGTTAAGAGCAAATGGTATCCAGTGTGGGGGGAAATCAAGGAATTAGAAATTAAACAGGCGCCAACATCACTTCAAATAATTACTTAGGTAGAACATGGCATTTGAAAAAAGGCCAGAAGCTTGATCTGGGGAAGGAAGAAATAAAAGTGAAGCAACGTCCATAACCCTGAGAAACATTCAGCCGTTGAGACGAGCAGCCTTTCCATTTGTCTTGGGTTACTTATCTTGCCCAGAATAGACAAGGAGACTAATGAAGTCAGAGTCTGGAAGCTGCCCCACTGTCTGGGGCTTTATGAAGTCATCAGTCAAGAGTATAAAAAGAAGAGTGATGCCAGAAGTTCAGGTGAGATCTCCGAATATCCTAAACTGAGTGCAGACTGTAGCAGAAAGCAGGGAAAAAGAAACACTCTGACAAGCAAGGAAGAAACTTCAGACCAAGTTGACAGGCAGCCCCTCAGTTTACAGACAGCTTCTTCTTACCTGCCAATGCCAAGCACAAAGCTGTCTGCATAGCCATGGCCCTTGTGTCAATTATCACTGCCCCACTCATGCTGCAGGATATAAAGCAGAGTGACAGTCACAGGACTGCCAGAGGAATACAGGTAGGGGCCTACAAAAAATGTGGATTACTGCCAAGTGGTCAACTATACAAAGGAAGTCCCACGTTACTACACTAACTGGTATTTTTCTACTATTAGCATTAGTCCCTGGGATATAATAAAATTTCCATATATTGACTGAATGGAAGTGGAATCACTGAAGGTAACTGTGGTTATATTTAACAAAAATAAGATATAGAACCTGTGTGAGGGGCAAACAAAGGAAAATGTCCTTGTGGGAAGTCCAACTGGACGAAGAACCCTGGACTCTAGCACTATGATTAGCTTGCCCTTGGGGTTTCGTGGTATTATCGCTACTGTGGCTCTACTGCCTGTTGGAGAGGGGTGGTTTTCTTCTTTTTGTCACTCTGATCCAAAGCATAAAGGATTTCTTCCTTTATTCTCCATAGAACAAGATAAAATTTACTTATGTCCAACTTAGGGTCTTTAAGGATCCTTCCTGCTCATTCTTACGTTGATTTCTATGGCATATCCTGAAAGGTCTGTTCGGGAAAATCTTGCCTCAACAGAACACAATTGTAGCAGAAACTGCTAAATGGTCATGAAAAATTTACATTCTCCTCTTCTGGCCAAACAATTTGACTACATTTACTAGCCTCCCTTGCAGCTAAGCTTGGCTATATGATTGAGTCTTGACCAAGGGAATGTGAGAGATGAGGAATACCACGTCCAGTACTAGCTTATTAGAAAATTCCCACACATGTGCCTCCATCCATTGTTCTCCTGGCTGGACCAGAGACCGCTCTCAGGGAATGTTGGAAGTTGTGCATTGAAGGTGGTAGCGTCTCTATCAGTTTTGGTTCCTAAATACCTGAGTGGAAGAGGCTGTCTTTTAAATTATGATACAATGATATTTTAAGAAACAGCCTATGCCTTTGTGAATTCACTTATATGTAGTAAAATTACAAACACTTGCCAGGCGAGAAGAAGAGCAGCTCCTGGAATCCAGGAATTGACTTGAGGCTCACATCTAAACCTCAGTGTTATTATACACTGATCTGATCCGACACTGAAGTTAAGCCTTGTTCCACTGTCAGATGTAAATAGTCACACAGAATACCCACTTCACACAAGGTCAGCATGCAATCCACAAATTAACAAACATCATCTCCTCTAAGTGAATGACTGCTAACTTCTTTACTAATTACAGCTTCATAGTCACTCGGTCCTTTCCACAGGTAAGATTTATTGAGATGCCCAATCATAAAATTGTCCCCACATTCCGATGGCTCCCAATCCAGAACAACTCCCTGCTTCCACAGGCCCTCCCCAGTATTACCCAACCAAAACACAAACCGTGTAGTAGGGTCTTTCTAACAACTTCTCACTTTGTTCTACCTAACACTTTGTCCTAGGTATAACAGAGGGTTAGGTTGAGAGCAGGGTGTAGTAGAAATCAAAACAAAATGCTACTGCAAGACTGCATTCTTCAAGAACAATATTGGAGAATATTCATGAAAATGGAGATAACTCACCATTCCCCATGGTATGTATTTTCCTTTGCTGCAATGAGTAATAAACCCAACTTGTTCAACTACAGGTATGTTCCTGGTAGTTTTTGGCTAAAGCACACTGACAAAGGTTACATATCAGGACAGTGGTTACAGCTAAGAAAAGACAGAGGAGGAAGGGATGAGAGGGAAGGGATAACTAGCTGTCTCTGTAATATTTATTTTTTTAATTAACCAAATATAAGTAAAATATTAATGTGACCTTAGTGGTTGATACATATTTTTTGTGTGCTTGAAATGTTTCTCAAATAAAAAGGAAAAAAAACCACAGACTATGGTGGTGGTCACTAGGGAAAGACTTGGCAGATACCATTCCTGATTTCATAGAACAATAGTTTCCAGAATGCCAGTGGGAAGACCAGCGTGGGGCTGGCTACATGAGAATCATCTGTGGTACTGCCTAGAAATTACTGGACTCAAGCCTTTGACTCTAATTCAGCACGTCTGGAGTGGGATCTGGGAATCTGCGTTTCTTAAAAGCACCCCTGGTGATGTTAAGAACTACTACAGTTGTACAGATGGATATTCAATATGCATAATTATCTTAGGTCTACATGATTCTGACTTATGAATAATTCATGTTATATAACACATTTGGAAATAAAACCTCAGTGTGTCTTAGGAACTGTCTGTATAAGTACAATCTAATAATGCATTCTATGTGTACTTTGCAATAGTGTCACAAACCTGAACTTTGCCACCATGCGGCTTAAGTGAGTAATCATTCATACATGCATGCATGCATTCATGCAGGCAACAAATATTTCCTGAGTCTCTGCCATGTGCTTAGCAATCATGGGTTGTAGGAGAACCTAAAGAAGTATTATTTTGCTTGAGTCCATTTCACATAACCGGGTATGAGCAAATGACATCCACGTACCTATAAGCACTCACAGAGCCTACGTAAGTGAGAGAGTGAGAGAACATCTACTGGAGTACACAAAACCCATTTTAGAGATCACAAGAAGAAGATTTACAAAACAAAACATGAAAGTGAGTAGTAATGCTGGGAGAACTCTACTTCAAAATAATCATACTACTGCATATACCTTAAGGAATTCTTTCCCCTCATTTATTTGGTCTTTAATGATTTAATTTTTAATTGCAAAAGTAATACATAAATACAAATCAGAAGATAATAGAAAATAGTGAAAAACATAAAGAAAAAAAGTGAAGGTCCTACTTAACACCTCTTTCAACCTGACTCCTTTCCCCAAAAGACAACATCATGAATTCTCACGTATGTATCCCGATTGTTTCCTATTAATTGATAAATATCTATTTAAAATTACTACAAATGAATAGTGGTTTACTTTGCAGGAGGGTAATTAGGATAAGGCAGAGAAGGCCAGCTATTGTCTTTCTTTTTTCTTTTTCTTTTTTTTTTTTTTTTTGAGACAGAGTCTCACTCTGTTGTCCAGGCTGAAGTGCAATGGCACAATCTCAGCCCACTGCAACCTCTGCTTCCTGGGTTCAAGTGATTCTCCTGCCTCAGCCTCCCAAGTAGCTGGGACTAGAGGCACGCACCACTGTGCCCAGCTAATTTTTATATATTTTTAGAGATGGGGTTTTACCATGTTGGTCAGGCTGGTCTCGAACTCCTGACCTTGTAATCTACCCACCTCAGCTTCCCAAAGTGCTGGTATTACAGGCCTGAGTCATCAATAGCACCCAGCCCCCAGCTATTCTCTAACATGTGTTTCTCTGCCTTTTGAATATATAGCTAAACT